AAGCCCCATAAAAAAAAAAAAAAAGGAGTACATGAATGTGTCAGAAAAAAGTGATGGGGAGATATGGGAGGAGTTGGAGGGGAGGGAGTGGGCACGGATTTGATCAAAATACCTTATATGCATGTATGAAATTCTCAATAAATTATTTTTTTACCGAAAAAGAAAAATAAATAAAAAGACTGTAATAAAAATCAGGGCTGCTGAGATGGATCAAGAGGTAAAAATATTTGCCCCTAAGCCTTTGGACCTGAGTTCAATCCCTCCGACCAATATGGTAGAATTCCAGAGAGAACCAACACTGGCAAGTTGTCCTCTGATCTCCACACATATACTATGGCATTTACGCACCCAAACACATGCACATACAAAAATAAATAAATAAATAAATAAATAAATAAATAAATGTAATAACAGAATTAAAAAATAAAGTAAGGTGACAATAAAAAAAACAATCAAATGCAAAGGACATCTGGGAGACCACCGCGAATTGGTACATGAATTACATATTATGTAATGGAAGAAAATCACTGTGAAACTGCTACGATTATGTATGGTTCTTAGAGGAGGAAAAGCTGAGCACTTAGGAAGGCAGTGATATGATGCTTGTATCTTACTGCCAAACAACAACAAAGTTATATACAGGGAGAGTACAGCAAATATGGCCAAATGTTAACAAAATGTCAAGTTAGATGAAAGATACTTGGGTGTTCACTGTATAGCTATTAGTTTTAACAGCTTTACTCCTATTCACATCCATAAGTATACTAAAAAAATCAGCCTTTAAAGCATGGTTCAGTGTTTTGGTGTCCTGAGGAACTGTACCACCATAAAGTCAGTTCTTTATATATAACCCAGACTGGAAATGTTGGTCAGATGGTAACTATATTCATATATTACACTTGCAATCATTTTTAAAGATTTATTTTATTCTAAATCATATGCATGTGTGTGAATTGTGTGTGTGTATGTGTGTGTGTATGTATGTGTGTGTGTGTGTGTGTGTGTGTGTGTGTGTGTGTGTGTACAGGAGTATGGATATCCGAGGAGGTAGAGGTATCCAATTCCCTTGAGCTGGAGTTATAGGTAGTTGTGAGCCACCACTCAATGTAGGTGCTAGGAACTGAATTCAGATCTTCTACAAGAACAGCAAATGTTCTTAATCACTGAGCCATCTCTCCAGCCCCTGCCGTTTTTCTATAGGATTAAAAACTTCAAATAAAGTAAGGAAAAATCTTTATTAAAAGTCTACATAGTGAGTTCCAGGACAGCTGGGGCTACAGAGAGACCCTGTCTCAAAAAGACCAAAAAATAAATAAATAAATAAACTCAAGAGGCAGAAGCAGGTAGAGCTCTGTGAGATCAAGGCTAGCCTGTCCTACACAGTGAGTTTCAGGCCAGCTGGGACTATAGGAAGACCCTCTCTCAAAAGTGAAAAAAAAAAAAAAAAAAACCAGGGGCCCGGGTGGGAGGACTTTTTTTTAACCCCCACACCGGGGGGGGCGGGGGGGGGGGGGACATTATTTTTGGGGGAACGCCGAACGTGTGGTGACAGGCCAGAGCCCCTGGGCCCCACGGGGGACTCACGGCCGCGGGCAGGTACCGGGCCGGATGCAGGCGGCGCGCCCGGAGCGGTGACCGGGAGATCCCGGGGACTGCGGGGAGCGCCTGTCAAAGCTGTGCGGGGACCCGCGCGTCCCTGGAGGGGCTGCGGGTGCACCGCGGAGACGGGCGACTGACTCCTTTGGAGTTTGAATGTGGCTTTTGAAGTTTGCATTTGGCGAAACGGTGTTGGAGCCAGGACCGGATGTGTCAGCCGTTCGGTTTCAAAGCGGTGGGAACGGCGCCTCTGGCCGGGCGGGGACAGGGACACTGCGAGCTGCGAGTGGAGCTGGAGCGGTGG